TTTTTCTTTCCCGGAGAGAGGGGATGCTCTTTTCTTTTTCCTTCAATTTCTTCATCAATTCTAACATAAAAATTCAAAAGCAAATCATACAAAATTTCCAGATATTCAATACAAACACAATATTCTGAACCCTCATGTTGATCAAAAATCGCATATCAACAACTCGTATACCGAGAACCGACTTGACCGACCCCCAAAGTTGGTGACTAAGCATAATTCTAATTGGACCGAGTCCAGAAACATAATAATTACATTTCCTTCGATAATTTGGTCACCGCATCATAAATAAAATCTGCATTAAATGCGATCCTATCTACCTCGTACGGAAATTCAAATCCTTCACGACTATAAATAGCAGGATTCACTATAATAGAAGGGATCGAATTCTCGAGATTTAGATTTACAATCTCGGTTACCACATAAAACCGATATCTTGTACTCGTTAGCAAAAGCTTTAATAAATACAAAAACAAGTTTTTCTTTGCTTTAATTACACATATTATAGTTGTTAAATTTTGCATAACAACATGAATGATTAAATGTGGACACCCGGTAATATTATTATTTGATGACGTAACAAATAATAATATTAAACTTAATAACCTAAATAGAAAAATAATTTGAGTCAAAATTATTTATGGGTGGAGTCCCCAAAAGCCGTGAAAATAAATTGATGCCCAATAGGATAACCCATAAAAAATAAAATAAAAAAATCAAATAAAATAAAGTGGTTGGTAGTTGCCGACACTTTCTATTATTAAGTGTGTAATTAGTATTACTAATCAATATAAAAGGGGAAAGAGGGGGGAGGCATCATATGTCAGAATAAGTTTTTCCTTAATACGCCAAAGCAAAATAAAGAAATCCACGGTCTTTTGGAAGATCTTCATATCCCAAAATTCCAATTCAAATTTAAGTAAAATAAATCAATATGAATTCATCAGGTACGCTTTCGCTACTTTCGGTTAGATTCTCGATTATTCGAAATGAATTCTCTTGGGATTACTCAATTTATTTCGAATAAGGTTAAATCCAATTCTATCACCTCGATGATGGCGGACGTCGGTTGTTTGCGGTCGGACATAGGCTGCTTGAAGAACTCGTCGACGAAGGATGACAGCGTGTGGCTAGGAGGGCTCCAAAATGAGTTACTTCCCGCTGCTACGAGCAAGGACGCGTGGAATGGTGGCGGTGATGGCTTCGCGGGGAGGGGCAGCTGCGTGTACGATCGAAGGTTGTTCGGTGGTTTGCCAAAAAATTAAGGTGCGACCGATTTTTTTTTAAGCGATGATCGGGCGATTATAAGAAGGAGAGAGAGATGAGTTTTTTAGATGAAAAACTCCTTGGAAAGAAAAAATAAAATAAAATCTATGTGATATAAGTTGTGAAAGAGAGGGGCGAATTGATGTGCTGGTCAAAGGCCGTAAATAGGGGTTATAAGGATTTGAAATCAAATTGATTTGATCTCAATATTAAGCTCAGTCAAGGAGGTTTAATAAATGGAAATTTCCTAACTAAATGAGCTTTAGCCAGTTGAAATTTAAACATAAAGAATTGGGTCGACTAAAATAACATGAAATGGCCGAGAATGGATAAAATAAAATGAAGCCAGAAATATGTGTACAACTTGGGTCGAGTACCGGATTTGAGAAAATATGAAAATGGCCCGACGTCAAATTCACGCGATTGAACAACGAATATTCGATTGATTCGACGAGATGCATAAATCGAACGGTGATGGGCGAACAACTTTCCAACGACAAGAAATTGTAGATAATTCCACTAATTAGAATAGTTAGAAAAAGTCATACAATTAAATCGAGATAACTTAAGCGAAGACTCGAGATTCAGAAATAATTACAAATAGACGATAAGACAACGAAACTGATCGACACGAAAGATCATCAAGACGAGGATATCTGCAAATAGTCCGCCTGATCTACACTAGGAATTTTGCCGAGCAAAATACTTAAAATTTAAACTAGGCGAAACCCTATAATTACGGTAACTCATAAGAAATGAATAGGGCGCTACAAACCTACTCTTCTCGTGCTGGGGTCTTATGTGTGCTGTTCTCGTGATGTTCGACCAACACTATTTCCTCGACTCTATTCAATCGGATCCACATGCACGATGTGCTCTGGCCCGTCAAACCGTTTGAGTCTGTCAGTACAGTATTTTATGTATAATATCCTACATCATTTACGTTGTAGATATGGTTTAATGTGTCGAACAGAAATATCATACTATCGGTGTCTTGTAAAACATAAATTAATTTTTCACCGCCCAGATGGAATTGAACTATCTGTCGTGAAAGGTTGAAGTGTGATTTTGAATTAGTTGGTTTTTCACTAATAAATCACACTATTACATCTTGGATGTACTGGACAAACTTACTGAGGAGAAGATTATTTATGCTGACAAAATAAACTATCTAGACCTCAGTAGTTGGTGGGCTCTCTTAACTCGTAAGAGAGTATAAACGGACATGTATATTTGGTACATTCTTATTTGATTTACCAAGGGTGAGACTTATTCCGGTATGTCGACAGGCTTTGTATTTTGGTAAGTAGTGACCGGGTATGATGTGATGTAAAAATTGTCTATGGTCACTGTGTCCCAATCCGTCTAGTTGATGACGTCCCCGAAATGATCTTATGAAGGATTATTACATTAAGCTCTGCAGGAGGACTAATTTTCGACATAATAATAAGGAACTGAGTGGTATTAGTTTCACTCATATAAGTTGATTAATTATATTGTCAATTATTAGATTAATCAAAAGACGTTAAATCTTAAACATGTGGAGGTAGTTCGAGCAATTAGCTGGGAGAAGAATTATCTATAATTCATGGGCAAAATGAGGAGTTCAATAATTATAGCGACGTTTAATATTATATTATTGTGTGTGGGGTGGGCCAGGCCCATAGTTGGATGCACATTTGGGGAGCCGATATTTAGCACCTCCTTCAGGTCTCTATTGTGGCCTATAAATACGCCAATTTCTTAGCCTCCATGAACACACTATCCCACAGGTGAGTTCTTGATCTTAAGCAAAAAACCTGGCCGAAAAATCGAGAGCAGAGAGAGAGACATCGTGAGTTTGTGAGGGGTTCAGGAGATCCGACAAGCCGTCCATCACGGCAATCGGAGTAGATGATTGGTTATACAAGAAGATCAAAGATTCTTATATTCTGCAATCCCGATGAATATATATATA